ACCTCGCTCAGCCAGTGAGCGGCCGGTCTGTATGTGGGATCCAAACCCTCGGCGGGAGCGTTGCCGCGCTCCCAAGCGGCCACTGGGCCGGCCCGAAAGTGCTCTAATTTCTTAACATACAGTACAACTTGGTGTTTTTACTGTGGAATGAGGAGGTAAAGGAAATAAGATACTTATATTTGCCAGCAACATTATCATCCTTACTCATTAGCTCATAATGCTCTTAAATATACTGTACTTAGATCAGATAAAACACATTGATTGCCTCTATTCTGAAGACCTTTGGTTTATGATGGGTTCAGTAAAAACAGCTTCCAAATATTGTGAAAGAACACATATCATCCTGGTGTGGTCTCAGAGCCCACAATATGACTACTTGTTCATAATCAAATGAGTCTTCTGTACAAATAGAAAAAGTTCATTTTTAGAGCTCTAAGAAGAATTCACGTCCTCTGTATTTCTTTAGTAAATTTAATGGTGTTCGTTTGACGATATTAGTAGTAAGTCACTCTCCTGCATTGCTATACAATATGACCATAAAAGTAGAAAAGGAAAAGCAAATTTTCCATCTTGAGTATGTGCGAACAAACTAGAAATTTCCTAGCAGAATGTTTTAGAGTCTATGGATACTGTCCAGCCTGATATGAATTGTTTTTCAGGAAGTTATAAGAGAAATAAGAAATTGTTCTTCCTCCAGAAGGAATGTGAAGAAGCAACAAAAGTTGTCAAATAATTTCCATTTTGTCAGGATTTGTATTAAGCTCTAGGAAGTGTCAGATTAGTTTTTAAATTTTTTTTAAACGTATGGCCAGTAATAGAGAGAATCTAGAGTGGGGTCAACCAAATGAATGATGGCAATCAAATATGCTGATTCCATATCCTATACTTATGAACAGACCATTTTTGCGGATTTTGCTATTTGAATTTCATGGTCTACTTTTCATGCTATTCAGGATTCCAGAAATTTTGCAAATGAGTCATAAATGAAGAAAGTCTAACAGGCATTTATTCCATGTTGGCATTTTCTAACTCCCTTGAACATCTATAAACTATTCTGGAATAGTTATTTACTATTAGTACAGATATGCCAAACAGATCCACCCATCTCACAACGCTGAGATGTCAAACAAATCAGTTTTGCCCGTGGGTGGCACTGGCTGACTAGCCTCAGGTAATTTTTCTCACTTTGGTTAACAGCTGGCTTCTCTTTATGAATTAGTTGAAAACAAAACCTTTGGGTATTTTCTTCAAAGCAAATAAATTGAATTGAGTACACATATTTGTGTGAAGTTTTGAAAACCATATGTTAATAACTAAGCTGACATGTTACAAATTTTAGCAGGCAGTCTGTCTGTGCAAGTAGAATAGACCCCAAATTTCATGCTGTGATGGGTGGTGTGCACAACCAGCCACCCAATCAAATTTTGAATACTTTCTTATCACAGTGATAAAAAAGAAAAGACGAATATTCACTGTAAAAGATAAGAGTAGTAATGTCTTTCATTTCATTAGGTACTAATACATGCACTAAATGGGAAAGAAAACTTTTCGTAACTCATCACTTTATATCTATGCTTTTAAGTAACAGTTTAAGGTATAGATGGTGGGATGAAATCTTTCTTGCTTTAAGCACCCATTTATTTTTCCTCACTACTCATAAGTAATGTATCATGCCTGTTATTATTATGAATCTCAGGTCTAGAATTGGCTATTGAACACATATACTAGCTAATTAAATTCATTCATTCATCCATACATTCATAATCTCAGGTCTAGAATTGGCTATTGAACACATATACTAGCTAATTAAATTCATTCATTCATTCATACATTCATCCATTGACCCATTCAGCAAGTATATATGAACTTACTATGAGCAAGGCCCTATTCTAAGCACCTGGGATACAGCAGTGCACAACACAGAAAAAACGCAGGGCCACATTATGACATTGCCTTTGTGAGTTCCTTCCTCCATAAAAGTACATGTTAACATGATATTTTACAACTGTATTGTTATCAAGATAAATATAATATATGAAAAAATGTTTTCAACTCTAAATTTCATTTTTTCTTCTGATTTTAAGAGAAATTAAACATATACATGGGCCCCTAAACACTGTGCCTACTGTGCCTAATGGGGAAGTCAACCCTGCAAAATCTTACCCTCATGGAGCTTATGATCAATATTAGGAGGCAGAAAGCAAATAAGGTAATAAATATGAAACATTAGACATGTATAAGATAGTAATAAATGTCAAGGGAAAATTAATGCAAAAAATATCAGGAATAGAGTATGTCATTTTAATTTGCATAGCCAGAAAGGTCCCCTTTGAGAATGTGACATTTGTATAAGATCTGAATATTATTCAAATTAATTTTTCTCATTGAGATTTTACTGTTATAATCACCAGAATTTTAAAATTATTTTTCTAACCTTAAAAAATTTCTGTGAACTATAAATACAGACTCATAAAAATGAAATGTGCAAATGAACATGACCTCAAAAAACAGTTCTTGGATGTTTTATTATCTACAGAATTAATATTTTTGTGCCTACAATTAAGGAAATGAACTAGATGATGTAAGAAAACTTATAATAAGGTGTCCAAAACAGGAGGAATTTCAAATATAATCTCAATTATCCTTAGTTCCTATAATTCATTGTGGAGGATTTCTCAACAGAGAATAAAATGGAAAAGATATGTATTTGCTCTGAATTTGTATGTCTGAACACTGTTTTTCTCTCTTAGAGGATAAAGTACATTGTTTATCAAGTCAATCTCCACTTCCCCATTTTCTCCTGAAGAATAACTTGTTCCACAAACAGAACTAGTATAGCACTCCATTTGTAAAGCATTCTGTCAACTATATAGGCACATACTTAAAATTTTGGGGATCTTTAAAATGACACCTCTGAATACTAGTTAACTAGTATTCAGGCCATGGGCACGCTGTCCAAAATACAGGGATTGAGCACATTTTAAAGGTCAATCACCCACTCTTGTTTTAGAAGACAATTTCTGTTACTTTGGTTATGAAATACCCAGTTGAGAGATGTGTATCTCAAGTCAGCCAGGTACTACAGCATTCCTATGTTCCCTATGGCTTGGCTCTTGGAAAAGTCAACAGCAAAGAATTGAATGTTGTTCCCTGAACTGGACAGAGACTCCTTTCACCAGAAAATTAAGCAATTAGTCCATAAAATGACAAAATAACACACACGTGCGCACACACACACACAGATACACTTTTGCAGCAATTCACAGGTTGTCCCTTTGAAGAGTTAAGTTGGAGCTAAGGTTTTAAAACCACCTGTATTTTCCTAAAAGTCCTGAATTTTTCTGCTGCCTTCTCTCCCCCATGGCCCCTGCCCCAATGCGAGGTGGGTTTTAGGCTTGTTCTTGGGAGGGCTGCCATCTCAGCCTTGGGTTTGGCATTCAGCATGCTTCCATATAGTGTGCATCACACCCAGCTCCGCTGTGCTCATTTTAGAGAGTAGCTTATTTCCTCAGGAAGCTTTTGTGGTTGACCAAGAGATACGTTATTGTTCGCAAACACCCACTTGTTTTATGTGGTTCTGCAAACCGGAAAAAGAAAATGTTCTTAGTGTCTTCTATAATTTCTCCTCATTTATCTTTTTCATGATGATTCTTTGCAGGGACATGAATTCCCTAAAGCCTCCTTAGCCAAGTAGGGCTGAAAGCTAAAATTACAGAAAATGTCTCCCAAGCCCCCAAGTCTGGGAGTCACATTGCAGCCTAGATTTGTTGTGACTCTCACTAGGAATGTGCTTTTATACAGGGATATCTCGTTTTGATCTCTCACCCTTGACCTGGCCTGGTACCTTATTGAGGCGTTTTATTTCACATTCATAATATTCCTTCTTCTTGTTCACGAGATCATTTTTTTCCTTCAACAGCTTATTCTCTTTCTTCAATTCGTGTAATTCTTCATTTAAGCTTTCCTTTTCCTTCTGAAGTAAAGAGCAAGAAAAAAATTAAAATTAATAAAAGTCAAATGAGATGATATTATGAGAATCCTGATACATGAGCTGCTCCTGGCAGATAGAGGGCTCACCATTTGGAAATACTGTAAAAAGAGCACCTGCAATATTTTTACTTAACATGCCATTTGAGCAATGTTCTTTGCGTGGAGGACAGGGTTAGTATTGAAGAAATCATTCTTTCATCAAAACTTAGTGCTGCTACTTAGAAGTTCTGTGACCCCAGAAAAAGATACCAAAATCCCCAATCCTCATTTTCAATGCTCAAATAAATGGGTTTGCAGAATATGCTAGTTTCCTTGTACTGTTACTAGCTGATGAATAAGTGATTGAGTAAAAGTAATTGAAAATCCTAAAACAAAGAATAATTATGATTTGTAATGACAAACATGCTAATAATACTGATTTGATCATCACATATTGTACACAAATACTGACTGTCAGCTGTGTAATCCATACATATGTATCATCAATTATGTTTCAATTGTAAAATAAAATAATAAAGAAAATCCTAAAAAGAAAAGAGTGTCATGGCAACAAAACAATAGTTAATATCTCAAAGCCCAATCCTACATCGTTCTGTACTGGAGAGATGGAGAAGAGACTAAATTGTAGGCAAATAAGACTCGTGACTTACAGATAATTATTCAGAACACTGTATTGTTGTTATTATTTTTTAAAGGTAGAGATTAACTAGTTCAACTGCCATCACTCTTCCATATTTTAGATCATCAGGAAGTCCAGTGTTTTAAATAACTGAAGGTTAGCTGCTCAGACACTAACAGGCTCTGGATACAGACACTGTGGCTCCTATCTCTTAAGTTTATACACTAAATAGTAAAATTTTTGTGGAGTAAATTGTACTTTTAATGAGAGTGAGAGTTTAATCTACAGAAAAAAAATTGCAGAATTTAGGCAACTCATGATGACAAAATAGCTAATATATGTGTTAAAGTATGTTACTTTAGCAATTCCTTTCCCAATACAATTATTAAACTTAAGAAACCTTAAATTAAATTTAGGTAAGTCTTTTTTTTTCCTTTTTGTCTTTTTTCGTGACCGGCAACGGATCGCAACCCTCAGTGTCACACCCGTACTGGACTGGGACCGGCAACGGGATCGCAATCCTCGGTGTTGCTCCCGCACCTCGCTCAGCCAGTGAGCGGCCGGTCTGTATGTGGGATCCGAACCCTCGGCGGGAGCGGCCCAAGTCTTTTTTTTTTTTAAAGAGAAAACATTTATATTTGCTTTTGTGTAAATAGAATGAACCTATATACTTAGAAAATGAACTAATCATTTTCTAATTTCGCATAATTTAAGAGAAAATTACTCCAACTAGAAAATGTTTCCACTGTATGAGGGAAAAATCACTAAGATTCCCAGTCAGGGTTTAATTGGAAAAGGAAATGACTGCTATATGGCAGAAAGGGAATTGCTAAACCCTGTCTTCCTCTGACTCACTGTGACAAAGACATCCTTAGTAAGGTAGGAAAACCTGGACTCGTGTTGTCTGAAGATTTATGCATGTTTTTTTTTTTTTTTCCTTTTTGTCTTTTTTGCTGACCGGTAACAGGATCGCAACCAGTGTGCATGTTTTAAAACATTGCCAATGCCTCATGACATCAGTGATAGGACTTCACCTCAGAATATTTGCACTTTTCAGTTTTTTTTACTATACCTAAAAAAAACCAAGAGGTCCTTAGATTTTAAGGTTTCCTCCAAACTTCTACAATAGCCATGAAGTCCAATAACTGAAAGTGAAACCGGGAAGAAAAAGTCTGTTTTAGGAAAAACTGTCATCTCAGTTGTCACCATGTAATTCTCAGCAGGGACTGATGGAGCCTTAGAATCTAAAGATTGGGCTCAAGTCCTATTTTTCTTTCTTTCTTTTTTGAGTCTTAGAAAAGTATTTATTTATTTATTGTAGTGAATTCTTATAATTTTATGTGGGTTTGGCATTCATTTATTTACCTTAGAAAAGTATTTATTTATTTATTGTAGTGAATTCTTATAATTTTATGTGGGTTTGGCATCCATTTATTTATTTATTTATTTAATTTTATTGATTATGCATATTCATGGGACACAAAGCTGACCATCAGAATCCATGCCTAGGATGTGATGGTCAGATCAGGATGCCTATTACCACATACTGAGATTATTCCCCATGTCCCCCACCCAATTAATCCCTGACCTCAAGTCCCATTTTTCCATGTACATTTCATCAACATTGGCAAGTCAATCTCTTTCATTTCAGCTTTCTCATCTTTAACATGGCAAAAATAATATTTTTTTCCACAGGTGGGCTGAGAATATTAAATGAGATAATGCCGGTGAGGTTCATTTAAAAATGCTATATTTTTATGATTACAAAAGTGGTACCTATTTGTAAAGTTCTCTGTAAGCTGAAAAGCTACTGCAAAAATGCAAGGAATTGCCATACTATAATTATGATCACGAGTAATAAAAGTAATAAACGCGAAAGCAAAGTTAAAAAAAAAAATTTTTCCCCCCTAGGGTGAAACGCCGTGCACATTGGTCACTGTTCAGAAGTCAGCTGATTTTAATAAGACGATAGGATTTCGTAGGAAAGCCACCGTGGGCTTTGACTGCGTTCCTCCCGGCGGGGGGCGGTCACCTTCCGAGCCCCGCCCACCTCTTCGCGCTGCCGCGGGTCCCGGGTCGGGTGGCGCTGCGGGTTGCTCGCTCTCTGACTCTGATGTCGCTCCCTCTCCTGTGTGCTGAGGCATCTTTCGGCGGCGTCCAGTTTCGTTTTCAGCTCCGCGACCTGAGAAAGTCGTTCACAGACAGCTGCAGACACCTTTTCGGAAGCCCACACACCCCTGGGTATACGCACTTGGGGACAGAAACACCCCCCTCCTGGACGTCCCCTAGGGAGAGGTTCCACTTCCCACCGCCCCTAACGTAGATCAGAATATTTGCATTTAAACAGGAGCTTGGTCAACTGGGAAAAGCAGACTTCTCACACCCAAACAGCGTCCAGCTCTTCCCTCCTTCCTCCAGACCACCCCCACTTCAGAGGGAATACAGACAGACCCCAGGCAGGAAGCCTCTAGGTTTGTCATCCTAGTGTCAGCTCTCAAGATGTGCCCTGCCTGACGTGGAAAAGGCAGCGAGGGTCAGGGGTAGGTAGAACATGCCTACACCAGAGAAAAAGACATGGCCTTTGATTTAGTGATCTGCAGCCTTGACCTATCACTAAATGGCAAATTAAAGTCGGAGCGACAGCGGTCCAATGAGAGAACCTTAGAGATGGATATTGCTTCCAGTATGAAAATTATACCCGTTGTTAACTCTGTATCTTCAAATGCCTGCAAGCCCTTCAGGAAAGCAGCTTGAACCTTCTCTCTGGGAATCATCATCTTAAAAATGTGGAGACCCAAACTGCCCCACAACGTGTATTGCAAGGTGGCCCGACCATTGCCTGGTGCAGGGAGAACACTATCCTGCACCTTGTAAGTCTAATACTTCTGAGTATCAAAATGGGAAAGAAAAGAACAATGCTGCTGTATTACTTGTGGTCAAGTTTCTTAATTCTGAATTATTTAGAAGAATTTACACTCTCTTCTCTCTCTTTTTGAAGATAGAATGATTTTAAATTACAAATTGACTTTTACCTATTCAAAGAGATTTTCTCCAAAAAATTCCTTTCTCACCAAAGCAAAAGCTTTTTGCCAGTAAACTGTTACACCTGTATCTTTGTCTGTGGAAAATAGCTGATGCTATCTAATTAAAATAATTAGAGAGCTGGCCTTGCACAGAACAGTATGATCTTTTAATTGGTCCTCACCTTACATATAACCTTGTGCAGTAACAAAGCTGAGGCCAGGATAATATGTAAGGTATGATATATGTGCATAAGAACTCTTGAAACATTGCTGGAGGCTATTTTTAGCACCTTTCTTTAGCCATGAGCAAGGCAATTCACTGACACTGTTCATTAATTTTCAGTACCAAGAGGCCAAAAATGCACTCAGCAGCCCTTCCCTTCATTTTTCAACAGCTGGCTGCCCACAGATCTTTGTAGCTGAGATCAGTGAGAGTCTTCACACACGTGGCCCCACCAGGATTATTGGTTTTAAAAAATTACCAAAAAAAAAATAGAGAGAGGTCTTTACCTGTCTTTCATATAAGTCTTTCATACTTCTAAATTGCCGATACCATTGCTGGTTAACTTCCAGGAGCTGAAATTATTAAAATTTGGTGAATCAACAAAGGATTTCTGTCCATTTGAAAATTTGGCTAACATAAAAAAGAATGAAATTCTGCCATTTGCAGTAATGATGAATGTAGAGAAAATTATATTAAGTGAAATAAGCCAGGCACAGAAAGAGAAATACTGCATGTCCTCACTTATAAGTGGGAGCTTAAAAAAAAAAAAAAAGAAAAGAAAGAAAGAAAGAAAAGAAAAGAAAAAAACAAACAACAATCACAATAATACTATGAATTTTCAAAAAAAGAGAGAACTCTGGTTATTCGATGCTGGGTAGGGGGATGTAGGGGGAATTAGTGAGAAATTGGTTAAGGATCACAAAGATTGATTATGTTTTGTAAACATGAATACACTAATTACCCTGATTTGATTACCACATATTGTACACAGGTTTGATATTCAAATCTATACACATCCAATATGTATAATCAATTATGTTTCAATAAAAAAACTGTCAAAAAGAAAAAAAGAAAATTTGGCCAAAATGAAATCACTTTTTGATATTACTGAGAATTTTGAGGCCGTGGATGAAGGCAATATTCCTTCCACTAAGTTCTGGTTGGGTGGAGATGATTTAATTGGACACACTCTTTTTTTATAACTCATTCATATATGAAAAACTATTAAGTCTTAGGTGTATCTTCACAAGTCAGCAGAACAGTTTATAACAAATTTTAATTTCTCTTAGTTATTTGAATTTTCATCTTTGTTTAATCCAACCAGAATCTGATAAAAATTTGTAAGTATTGATAGGTTTCTGTAAGATTTATTAATATATGAAGGGTTTTTCCAAACCTTTTGTATTTTTTATGTGATTAAACTGATTATTATAATGAAATATTTTCCAGCTTTTTAAAAGCAGAATTTATATGAACAAATTCTAGAATCCATTAACTAATCATCATTTGCTTATAATAATATGCTTTAAAAGGTCAACACATAATTTATAACATATACTCAAAAATGAATGGATAATATCACTTTTTTGAAAGTACAGATTTCAAGGAATAATAGTTTTGTTATAAGACAATATTTAGAAATATTTTAGGCTGCAAACAATTTAAAGATTTTAAAACTATCTGTTAATTAGAAGGAAGAAAAAACACCATGATCCATGTTTTAGTTTTATTGTAGAGGAAGTTTGTAGTTTCTTATATTAATAGAAATTTCTACACATCAGTATGGGACAGACACTGAGAAGATAGTAACAATGACTAATAGATAGCAAGACTTTCTTCTAATTAAAAAGCAAAATACCTAACCCAAAGTGACAGGTACTAGGTAACTGTAATGCTGGAAATAGATATGGTTATTTAGCATAAGACTATAGAATATTATTATATAAAGATACTCGAGCTGTCGTTATTACAGGGATTAACATTCCTATGCTACAGTAACATTATTCTGCTGTAGTTCAGTAATTTTCCAGAAGGGCACAATACTCTGTGCAGTATGAAAGAGGAGTAGATGGGGCTGGCCCGTGGCTCACTCGGGAGAGTGCGGTGCTGATAACACCAAGGCCACGGGTTCGGATCCCATATAGGGATGGCCGGTTGGCTCACTGGATGAGCGTGGTGCTGACAACACCAAGTCAAGGGTTAAGATCCCCTTACCGGTCATCTTTAAAAAAAAAAAAAAGAAAGAAAGAAAGAGGAGTAGAAGTCAGAAAAGAACATGAAGAATTTAAGACCCAGAATGGGCTAGAAAAGGAATTACAAAATCCACAATATAGAGAGTGCTAACATTGTTATACTTTTCACTTCTCCTGTCAAGAGGAGCAAAGAGGTTCTAACATTCATTAAACTAAAAAACAAAAGCAAAAACCACAACTCAAAATAATATCCATTAATTCTCAGTAACGTTTTAGAAACAAGCATTTTTAAAAATAATAATGCTCCTTAAGCCCTACGCATTTGGATGCCCAATTCATGAAGTCATCTGCACTTAAAGCCTTTGACAATTTGAATTTCAAGGTGTGTCAAGTTGCAAGACATAAAAAGCACAGGTGATAAGCTCACATGGTGCATGTGGAGGAAAAACCCGAATTTTGAGAAAATTAGAATTATAATTACTGGATTTATGACTTTGTCATTTTTCATTCATCACAGCACGAACACCAACTATGACATATGTGGGTGAATAAGAAAAAGCATTTGCTCTCAAAATATTGCATTCAGTATCTAAGACATAAATACTGTGACCCGATAAAAATAAAACAGCACTAGGTGACACACTATCTTATTCTCAGCATTAATCTATGGCACATGTGGCTTCAATATTTCTAATATTATATCTAAATTACCTCTTTTCTCTGTTTTTCCAAGTACCTTATCTTTGGTTCAAGAGAATTTGTCAAGTTCTTTCTTCTTGATGATTGAGAACACTGAAAAAAAAAAAAAAGATGAAAGAAAACAGTCTACAAAATAAACAGGAGACATACTGTCCTTCACAAACCCCATGGATTTGGTCAACTGTCATGTTGTGATTTATAAAAATACATGATTTTACCAGTAATAGTCATCATACCATAAGTCCTTCATATTGACTTGATGAATCACCTTTATATTATATTTTAGACTCCTTTATACTGATTAGTTACCAAAATAATTCTCTAATAAATTATAAATGTATCTATATAATGGGTAAGCCAGAAATAAGAAATCCATGATTTTGGATTTCAATCTTTTCCACAAAATTATGACAATTCAGAGTAAAATGGCTTATAGAAATAAGGTAAGTTTCATTGATACATTTTAGATATTTACAAAGTAAATATTTCTGAAATTATTTTTGTAGCTGTGCCCATGAACATGTATGCCAGTAAGATTCTGAAGAGTGGCCCCAGCAAAAATCAGAGTGACAGAACTACCAAGAAAAAAGACCAACACATATCACTAAAATGCAGCAAATTGATCTAAAACTACAATAAGTTAACTACCTCAATGACCATAACACAAGTGTGTTATAGAGGTGGTGTCATGCTCCAGCTAATGTCAGAATCTTGCTGACGTAGCCAATTGTGGAGCTCTTTATCCTGTTCGTGATGCCAATTGTTGAGCTACTGGACCATGCCAGTTGTCAGGCTCTTTTACCTGCCAGTAATTCTGCCGACTGGGCCGATTGTAAAGCTAGGGCTAGGTCTGGAGCTCACAGACCCCTCAAGCCTGTTGTCCAGACTGGGTCACGAACCCTTCACACACCAGGCTGGGTCACCAGACCCCTCAGACACAGGTCTATGAGTTAGGTAACCAGCAAACAGGTCCTTGGAAGCCATAGGTTGGAAAGCATGGCTGTCCGGAGGAGACGCCTGAGGCAGTTGCCAGCCAAGGTGGCGGTGCCATGCATGCCACCAATTCTACCCACATGCACAATCTGTTTACTGAACCACCCCCAACCGGCCTAGGTGAGAGCGCCTGATTAAATTGTTCTATTTTCCAAACAGGTGGGTACAGATTACCTGGTACTGTGTAATTTTCACCAACTGTTTGAATAAAGCCACTAGATTACAAATTTAGATTAAAAATAAATAATGAAAAAGTTAACCACCTTTCTTTTCATTTATCTTTTTTCAGGGGTGGGAGCATTTATTTAAAGAAAGCACAAAAACTCTGGAAACTACCTGCCATCTGCCTAAATCGACCAACAGCAAAACTCACTTAAGAACTGTTTCCTTTATTGTAATTCAATAGTCTTATTACCATCCCATCTCTCAGTCATATAAATAGTACAATAAATTGAGTGATGAGGGTATTCAGTTTCAGTCTTCTTAGTTATTGTGGACTGCAAAATTACTCAAAGATATTCATGAACAATTAAGAAATATTATCAAAACATGTTGGCCTTTGCCAGAAGTGTTTATAGTAAATACTCTTTTGCAATCATCATGGGAATTCAAGGACTTTTTCTATTAAAAGTTATTTATAAAACTGTAGTTTTCAATCTTTGCTTACTTATGTTTCAGCATTTTAGGGTTTGATGATATTTTATATCTGTATAGGTGCTATTTTTCGTTTCCTTAGCTTCTTCCTATGCAGACCCATGTTATAATTAAGACCACATTTTAAAAGAAAGTCTTTTGTGTGTCAATAAATTCAGAATGATTATACTTGCTCTTGACCCCAAGAAGCTGGTTTGGCCGAGCACCAAGGATGACATCAAAATGCAGGTGACGAGTATTTGGGGCCCTGTAATTGGACCTCCTCTCTTTTGGGGAGACTTCTAAGACACTAGACCCATTCTGGATTAGACAGATGCTTAATTAAACATTAAGCATCATTGATCTGGAAAATGCTGTGAGCTCAGCAAATCCTGAGCTCAGCAAAGCAGAGGTGCAGTAAGACTGGATTCAAGACCAGTGCACATCAAAGTCACCATTGAGCTTGCTAAAAATATAGCATCCTGAACAATGGACCAAAATTTCTGAAAGTGGAGCCAGGGCACCTCTGTTTTTAAAAAATGTCCTAGGTAATCATGATTCATACCAAAGTTCTAGACCCTTCCATTCTACACCATGCTTGGAAACATGAATTTTGGGTAAGCAGAAAAGTCTCCACTGTATTTGCAATGTAGACAATAATTTGTGCCTGGTAAACATTTGTATGTCCCTGACTTCTGGGAACCCAGATGTGGAGCAATATGACAGTGTGCTGCTTTTTTTTTCTTTCTTTTTTTTTCATATATAATTTTCTCTGGAAGAAAATTGTAATATATTTGACCCTTGATTTTAATTTTATAAATAAGAATTCCTGAAAAGCTAGATACTAAATCTGCAAGAGAATCTCTTTGCAACTCTAGGAGTACTAATTTCTGACACTCAGAAGTAATACTCAGGTATAAGCGGGGGCGGGAGGGAAGGATAGGAATGGAACAGAGAATAGGAATGGCTTATAAGCCATAAATGTATCACCAGGGGTTTCTCTGAGGGTTGACCAACATTTTACCATAGTTTATATGTATCAGGTTTGTATTAATATGAAGCAAAATCAGTCAAATACAAAGGTTTTGGGGGAATTTTTCATTTGTATTTGCTTTGCTTTCTAGTTGCTAATGCAGGCATCTGAGGCTGAAATAAGTACAAAGATTTTTAGTCATTGGTTTGAGTAAGGAACTGCTTATGGAACAATTATTCCCTATAAATAATTCCCTATAATTATTCCTGAATGGTAGAATATGTGTTCAAAGTATCCAAGCATTTATTTTCTGTCATAATTCCCATACCAACTTCTAATATATTCAAGGTCTGACACTACTAAATTAAATACCGAAATGAACAAGAGTTTCACTTAGTTTCCTATCATACCTTGGCTATCTCTTTGAAAAAAAAAACTTTAAAAAAGCACTTAATTAATAATTAACTATTAATTATTTAGTAAGTATCTATTGCAGTAACTGAACAAAAACTATGGTATCAGTTGTGACTATACAAATTATTTATTATAGACACTCTATTTCTTTAATATATTCTATTTCTAGCCATGTCAATATAGTATTCTTTTTAGACACTACATTGAACCAAATCTCTCTAATCAAGAGCAAGATGTGGAACCCATAGAATTGGGAGCTGAAAGGAATTTGGACAGGTTTAGTCCTCTCATTTTGTAAAAGAAGAAATGTAGCCCAGAAGGATGAAAGGCAGTGCAATGATCACCCAGGCACTTTTTCCATGTTAAATAACATTGATTAAAAATATAGAGCAAATCTTAGCTTAAAAAGCAAACTAGCAATTTCTACTTGTATTAATCATTGCACAATTAACTGCTAGAAATGCTATCGATACAAGATGAGGTCAGTTCATCCCCTAGAAATGCACTTACCTCTGCATGCTCCGTAGAACTTTCTGCAGCACTCATTCTCAATGTGTCCTGCACAAAATGTGCTATGGAAGCTGTTTTCTCTGGAGTCTTGCAAAGCATAAAGAAAAAGAGAGAAAAAAACCTCTTATGGTGTCTTTCAGGGTGAGAGCAAATATACAATATTTTAAAAAACACCACAGTTAACTCATGATAGAAAATAACAGCAATGACTTTTCATTAAAAATGAACAGAAGAGACTCTGGATGTGAATTACACAGAATAAGATTGTAAGTACAGCAACTGTGATTTTAACTTTTCTACTCCTCCAAATAGGGATTTCCCAGGATGTCTCAAGTAGGCAGGCTGTGACTAAGACCTGGGGCAGATCAGCCTTGTTATAGTACGTAAATTGTCTTTCTGTCTTTACTGGCAGTTTCTCCCACTGGAGGAGGAAGTTACTACTGCAGAAAGCCCGGGCAAACCGAATCTTTCCTCAGTAGCCTAACTGCCATAAATTCATTGTATTTCCCAGAGCAATTAGGTAACTGTTGACTTTTCGACAGCTCCATTACTTGTTTCCCTAAAGGCAAGATTTTCTGGCAATGCTTCTAAATGTGAATTTAACTGTGTAGAACTTAATGAGTCATACATAATTCTATAAGTGCTACTAATTCTTATGGAACTAAAAGAAAAAACAAATCATTAAAAAGAAAAATGGGCATTGTGTTTGCAAATCTAATCTTCTATACTGGTAGAAAGGTTAAATTTGGCTCTCAAGTTTAAGACTGTATTTTCCATAGGTCAAGTCCAGATTTTCTCCATGACTCATTTAAAGTTAAATCTTTTTTGCACTAACATTTTAGCTTAAGCTAGTTGGCTCCTGTCATTTTACAGGCTCTTGAGGTAACAGAGCACTAGGTAAGTAGTGCAGATAAAAGCGTGGAAATGATAGATACTTGGAGCTACACAAATGGACCACGATGGAGCAGAATATTTCATTATGGACTTGGAACAGAGGGAGCAAATGAAGAGGCAAGGAATACAAAACAGGAAAGATTGTGTTGCTGATAGGAGAAGAGAAAGAATCTACAGTCAATAACTTAAATTTTTCATTAGAGCTGCCTGTGAGATATCCACATATACTTGGATGTAGAAGAAAGCCTAAACCTACTGAAATCCGTACTCTTTAAAAGGTAATGAGTGGTGTCCAAGATTTGGCCCTGCCTTTGCTCCTTAATATTTCCCACCAGTCTCCAACTCTCCCCTATGCTCCAGCCACGCTGAATTACCTCCATCTCCTGAAGTGAGTTGTGCCGATTCACATCCCTGGGCCCTTGGACATGCTGTTCTCTCCATCTCCAACATCCCCTCTGAGCTTTCCCTCCAACCTGCTGACCTGAAAATCCATCTAATGCCTCTCTTGCCCTCTGACTTGATCTTGACCTCTTCCAACCAGCCAAAAAGAAGACTTCCTTAAACACTACAATTATTTATTTACATACTCCTGTGTTCAGCTTTGTATCCACAGTACCCTGCCACAGAATTGTCTGGCACAGAGCAGGTGTTCAGCACATTTCACTGAATGAATAAATTGATGAATATCTATATAATTAAACTATACCCCAAATTTATGAACTTTTTGCTAGTTTGTGTGTGTGTGTGTGTGTTTACCTTCTGCTGGTTTTTTGGTCTGTTTTGGGGGTACGCTTGAGTGGAAGCGAGTGATGTTGTCTTTAGGCAATATCCAAAAATACAGGTGGGAATCAAATTTTTCATTCAGAATTCTGAAAATGAAAGTTATGACTCACATACAATCTGACTTTAGGGGATAGAAGCAGACATTTTCTGGAGACTGACACCTTATTAACATTAAAATCTGCCCATCAGAGAAGGAAAAAACTCTAACGCAAAACTCTAAAACACACATGGAGTTTTTATGTACAGTTCGAGGCTCTGTTCCACATTATCTTTGTATTTGGTAGTAATAACCCAGTGAATGTGGTTACATTGACCTAGAAAAGCGGTTTGAAAGAATGTTTTCTTGCCGGAAATAATATCCTTGACATTGTTGCCTCTTGGGTTTCCCCTTAAAGGTATCCTGATGCACACTCATTGTTAGTGTGATGACTTCTATTCAATGGAAATCTGATACCTTTGCCTCTCTGCTATGCTGTTTAACAAAAAACAGTTTTCTATGAGCTCCAGAAAGCCATATGGTTATTTGTGAGTAATCAATAACTCTCATGGAGAACCCCAGGTCTATTTTGAGAAAGGTGGAACTAGCAATAGGCCAGCTTTAGGAATGAACTGAATATTTTCTGTCACATATACCCTATTGGCCTCACCTCCACCCCTCTCATGTGTGCTAAATATTTTAAGAGTCTGGCTTTCAGTCAAGCTTCGTTTCATGGGAAGTCTCACAAGCTGAAACAACTTTCAGAGAAACAGAGGTGTCACTTCGTGTTTCTAAGACTACTTTGAAAAGTTCACATTTATGAAATATTATACAAAGGAAAAAAATTAACAAAGAGAAGTATGGTGAAGGAAAGGAACAAGGAACTACCAGTCATTGGTCTGTAACTATCATTTGAGTTGACAATAATTCTCTCGAAATTAGTTTCACGAGGAAAGCACTGCATTTTTATAAATGCTTGGAGGCATTCTTGGGCAGGTTAAGTAAACATGGCTTTTCCTTTAATATCCTTTTAGAATGGGGATTGAAAAGGCTTCTTTGCTTTCTGAATCTATTTGCACTTTTTTTGCATTTGAATTTTTGAGTGAATTTTCTATCTAGATAGGAGAGGGAGGATCTAGAGATGACTAGAAGATCTGGCTCTCCAGTTAAATCATGTGGATTCATATCTCAGCTTTACCACTCACTGCTTTGGGCAAGATGCTTAAGGTCTCTAAGGCTCAACTAGCACATTTATGCAATCGAATAGTAATAGTGTCTCCTCTTGGGTTTGCTTTCTGTGGTAATACATGTAAGAACTTAGATAATAACAATTTGACGTTAAAGATAGGGCCATCAATCAAATTCTCTGTGAAACAAATAATGTGACAAAAGGAAAGGACTATCCATGATTTATGCATCACTGACTGTTCACCTGCCACTGAGTGGGTTCCAAAGGAAAATAAGCTAGGTTTACTGCTTACAATGCAGTTTATATACAAACACACATCTACATATGTGTCAATAAAAATATGAAAAACTGGACAGTAAATGAAAGCCAGCAAATCAGTAGTAGCGCCGAAAAAGCTTGTAAGAATTCAGAGGAGAGAGAGCTCATTCTCAGCTTTGATAGTTATGGAAGGAGTTGGAGTTTTCTCTGGGCCTTGAAGGTTGATAAGACTTTGATGGAGGGTGGAAGCTGAGATACAGTGTTGTAAGGGAAGCAACTTAACAAACAGAATAGAGTTGGACAAACCTAAGTGTGAAGGATCCTACAAGCCCAGTTTAATTAAAGTAGAGTTCACGGGGTATATCTAAAGTTGATTTGAATGAAATTGTGAAAGGCTTTAAGTTTCAGGTCAAGAAATTTTGATCTTATATGATAGGCCATGGGGAGCTACTAAAGACTCCTGAGCAAAGGAATTACATGATCAAAGTGACTTTTTAATAAAAATAAACCTGGAGATGTACATTATGAATTGTATGGTAGAGACTGGCAACTTCGATACCAGTTAACAAAAGTAATATTCAAAATATTTAATAGCTCATGGCAACCAAAATATTTAACAATCAGTTCTCCGGGGGCTCTCAGAATGGACTGCACCCCTGAACTCTAGACTCCTATATTAACTGCCTACTTGTCATCTCTATGTGGATGCTTAGTCATCTCGTTATCCACCTGTCTAAAACCTATTTTCTGATTTTCCTCACAAAACTTGTCTTCCTCATCACAATTAATGACAATTTTAATTCTCCAGACCCCAAATCTTGGAGTCATCCTTGACTTCTCTTTTTCTCTCACAGTCTGCATCCAATCTATCTAAATATTTTGTAGCCTCTTTGAAAATATATACAAAAAGGAGAGCAGCCCATTGCTGCAAGAGCCTAGAGACTTCCCAGTTTAATGAGCGAGTGACAAGGTGAAATAAACATGCCTGTTTATATCTTTTGCAAAACAGGACTTTAATGTTTACTTCCTGGTTTTATTCATAGAAACATTTTTAAGAGCATTTCCAGCAGTGACTGATCTCCAGCTTTATGCCAAATCCTAGTTCTATCACTTACTAGTCATGTGACCTTGAGCAAGACGCTCAGCATGTTGGACTGACACCAAGCAACCATCATCTCTTAGCTAGATTACTGAAATAATCAAAGGGCTTTCCTGCTTCCATTCTTGTTCGTAACTTCACCCCACCTTATGAATACAGTAGTCATTGTGAGGCTTTAAATATCATTTTATGTCACTCCTCTGCTCAGAACTTTTCAGTGGCTTCCCATCTCACTCAGAGAGCTGAACTCCTTACAGTGGCCAGCAAGGCCCTACATGATCTAGCCTGTGCCTCTTGACTTTTCTCAGTATCCTCCCATTTGCTTACTCTGCTCCACATCCTGGCCACACTGCTGTCCCTCAAACCTGTTCTCTCTGCTTTTGGGGTCAAGAGACAGCTTCCCCTTCAGCTCTCTGAAGATTCTCTGAAAAACCAACTGATAAACAGATTAATATGAAGAAAACTTATAACAAATTTTGTTATTTTAACTTACTGAGATGGGGCAATGCATAAAGGAATCACAAGAAAGTGATTTTCCAATTTTCCAGTTTAGTACAGAAGCCTTATGTATCAATTTTCTTAGGACAGAGGGGAGTTGGGGGGTACAGGAGTAAATGATTTTTGGGGGGGATGCAATGGGCCTGGAGAACATATAATGGCCTGGGACAAAGTCTATTTGGCCTGCAGAGCAGACAACAAATAGTAAATGACTCTCTTCAAATTACTGAATGGGACTGAAATAGAAGAGAATGGTCTGTGACAAAAGTCTGCCGAGTTGTTTTGACAGACTTTAGTCTTCTTTTCTGTGATGCAAGATAGATTAATGAAAACCTAGGGAAAGAACCAGAGGTAATTGTCTTCTTTCGGTAGATAAGGGAACAGCTTCA